ACTTGGAAAGATGATCAAACTGAATGGCCATGAGTTGAATACCATGACGTTTATAAATATTTAATAAAAATTCCTACAACATTTTTTTTTGAGGCTATAGATAATTACGAAACATTAGATGCTTAAAAATATTATGGCTTTGGCTAGATGCTGGAATTTTTTCACACGACGTTAAGCTCTAGTTTTGAAAACACAAGTTGTCTGACTTGTGCGTTTAAAACAACAAAACCATCTTAGTCACTAGAGTTGACTCAAAATAACAAAATCATCATATAAAACATATATATACAGGGGCGGATCTAGCATTTTAAATGGGTGATGCGAAATTTTTTTTATCGACGTCTCCCCCCCCCCCCCCCGCAACCTCTCTAGGGTTTAAGTATAGTCAATATAAAAAGTGGAGAAACAGCTTTTTTTACTAGTGGCGCCGCTGTTTATATCATTGAATAATAACTAAATTTTGTATTGCTTTTGCAGTATCCATTTTTAGCAGAAATTTTTACAAATGTTGCCTTGGCTATTTTGTTCATAAATTAGACATGTAATTTTAAGCCTAATTTACTTAACAAAGTGCACCAACGAGAAGGTAAGCCATAGGACTTTGCACTTCATCTGTATACTGTCATTTTGCCCTAGGTTAGCCCTCCATTTCTGGAGTGTAAAGTAATATTGCCTAAGGTTGGCCCTCCACTTCTGGACATATATATATACACACACACACACACACACACACACACACACACACACACACATACACACATACACACATACACACACACACACTCACACACAATATTAGTAAAAATCAAATTAGAAATAAGAAAAAAGTAAAATAAAAGTTAGTACACTACTAAATAAAAGCCAAGTCTAAACGTCTTTCACCTGACTTTGAAAAAATGTCAATGATTCTTTCAACATCTGGAAAAATTTCTTGATGTATGGACATTAATGCTAAAGAGTTAAAGCGAGACTCAATCATATTACTTCTAGAGAATGTTTTTAGCCTACGTATAACTGAAATACTTCTTTCACATTCACAAGTTGTTATTGGAATTGTTCCTAAAATTATAAATGCTGTCCTTATATTTAGAAAACCTCTCATGTCAATGGACTTTAAAGTACCAGCAACAGTTGAAGGAATACTTGACTGGTTTTCCCAAAATAACTCCCATAAATCTAACTCAGCATGTATTGAAGTAAAATGAGGCATATCAGATGAATAGAAATTTAAAAATTCATAAAAATCAGATTTCCATGGTTTTTTAACTTGTATTCTGGACAGTACAGTTGAAGGAACTGCTGCTAGACCTTTATAAACAAACATGCCATTTTCTGGAAACCTATTATCTAGCTCATTAATAAGATGTTCAATTAATGGAGATGTAATGCTGTGTTTAAAATAGTCACAAACTGTATTTGTTGGATAATTATCCCGGTAAACCTGGACAATGCACAATCTAGGTCTCACTTCTTGTATATCAAGAGTTTTGGCCAAACTAAGAGCGATAGCGTACCATCCAGTGTGATATATATCAATTTTATTTTTAATTTCTAATAACAGATTTTTTAGATTAGTTATTTCAAAACACTGCTGGGATATGTCAAAAGATTTAGTTTGAAGAGTTAGAGTAATTGCATTAAAAAAATCCATTAATTGTTTTGTAATAACTAAACTTACAATAAAAGAGAAATCTGTTAATAATCTTAAAAAAAAAGAGGATTTGGAAGCAGTTTCACTGCTATATTCCTTTGACTCATTTAACCCCATCTCCTCTAAAGCATGAATAATAGGTATAAAATTATCAAAAAAAAAAATATCAAGACCTCTCAGCTTTTGAACCCATCTTGTTCTACAAGTATCTATTATTTTTTCTTGATTTGGACTTAAATATTTTTTGAGACAGTTACTACGTTTAGGAGATAAGTTAAAAAAAAAATATTTCTTTTACTTGGCCAAGAAGATTTTTTACTTTTTGAACTTGGCATGCAGCTGCTACTACTAAACTAAGTCTATGGCTTGCACAATGAACAAATATAGCTTTATAATTAAGAGCTTTTATTCGAGAAGCAACTCCTTCATATTTACCTGCCATACAACCCGCACCGCCATACCCTTGGCCTCTACAATTTTGAATATCAAGTCCAAACTTTTGAAGTGCATTAAGTACATTTAGAGACTAAGACCAGATGTACCAGTCTTGCAATCAATAAATCTTAAGAAATCCTCCCAAATCTCATTATTTGAATTTACATATCTTAAAACAAGTGACATTTGTTTAGTATTTGAACAGTCAACTGCTTTATCACAAAGAATTGAAAAAAAAATTGAATGCTTGACATTTTTTATTAAAACTTTCTCAATTGCTTTCCTACAAGAATCAATAAGTTGGTTTTGGGTAGTTTTTGATATATAGGTTGCATTTTTTGGACTTGAAGAAAGATGATTAGCTAATACTTGATCACCAGCATCAACACAAAAATTTAAAAGCTCTATGAAGTTACTAACTCCAACTTTTTGTGTAGAAGATTCCCCAATATCAGCATGATATTTGCTAGCATCACGAAATGCTAGATCGTTTCTACCAAGAAATATTATCATTTTAATTATTGGAACTAATTTTTTTCTGTTATCAGAAAGAAGTTTCAAACGAGAATTATTTAAATCAACCTCAATAACATTATTTTTGGAGTTGCAACGTGAAAGCAATGCATTAAATAAAAGCATAGGTTTTTCATGTAAAACACAACTTTCCTCATGTTTTCTATAATCACGAACAGCATTACCCCACTCTTAATGGGGCTTGAAAACTAAATTTAATATTCCAGACTTATTTGGAATACTAGCACCTAGCAAAGTACAAGGAAGACAGTAAGCTCCATCTTCTTTGCTAGAATAAGCTAACCAAGAAAACTGGCTGAGCCATTCAAATTTAAATGATCTTTTTGTATTAAAAGATATTGGAAAAACAAACATAGAATTAGGACAAAATACTTTGTTTACCATATCTAACAAAATAGAATCATCTTTGCCAGCAGTTAAAAGTTTACCTCGAACAAGATATGTTGAAACATCATACAAAGAATTTAATTCATTATATGAAGGAATAATAACTGAGTTGGAGTCTAATGACTTAACTATTTTTGAATCTACAGAAGGTTCAAAAGGCAACTCTATGAAAGCATTGTCTTTTTTAAAGTTAATTTTAGATTAAATTTTGACATGTTTTGCAGAATCAAGTTGTTGTTTTTTATTTGTTTCAGTTTTAGGACTAAAAAAGTGTAAAGGATAAGTAGTATCGTTTTTTATAGCCAAATTCTTATTATTACTAGAAATTAGTTTAGGTTTTTTAATAATTGGTACAAAATGGTTCGGTGTCCAGTTATCATTATTTTGCATCACTGACATAATATCAGTATTACACCATAAAATATTTAAAATATTTTGATCTTGATTTTTAATTGAGCGAAATGGATAATTATATATATAAATAATGGAACGAAAAAATAAAATCAAAATCAGCCAAATCAGTATAAATTGATCTAATAGGAATATATAAAACTGATAACAAAGCAATTAGACATAAAAATGAAGAAAACTTGTTAGCTCGGCAGTTGATCAATGCTTCCATTATTATAATTTCAGAAGTAGATTCACTGTTAATTAATTTAAATTGATCTGAACATTCAAAAGAAACACAGGCTACTAAAACACTGGAAAGATTTAAAAAATTATTGTTTTTAACCTATTTAACAAAAAGGGAGTACCTCGCATAGTAGCAAACTTTTTCAAACAATTCAATCGAAGTTAGAAGCCTCAATACATTAACTGTCTTCAGAGCAGATTGCTTAAAAGTGAAGCTGAACTGTAGAGGCATGCCTCTACAGTTGCCAGAGGCATGCTTCTACTTTTTATTTTATTTAAGGTCATCTGAAGATGGAAATTGCCGGCAATTTCCATCTTCAGATGACCTTAAATAAAATAAAAAAGTATACTAAAACAAGCTCAGTTTATATTAAATACTAGCTGGAAATATAAAATACCATTAACTTTAATAATAGGGTTTTACCTTAAAGCAACATAATCTTTAGTATCTTCTTGCTTTGGGATAAAACGATCCATTTCAGTATTTTCAGAAGACTGACTATGTGGCTGAACTGGACTCTTATTATTTAAAATACAAATATGATTGGTTAAAACGTACTTTTTTTTTTTAAAAACTAATCACATTTGTATTTAGTGAAGAACACTTGCATCAGTTGCTCCAAAACGCAGGAATTTTGTCTAAGTAACGAATAAGTAACTATAGAGATCGAATAAGTAACTATAGAGATCAAATAAAATTGACTTTAAATGATTTTTTTTCGAGTTTAAAACAAGTTTTTCATTTTTTGTGAATACCAGATTCCAATTTCTCCTTTTACTTTTTATTAAGAAAAAAAAGTGAAAAGGAGATACACTTAAATTTAGCGGTGAAAAAAGACTGATGCATGCGCATCATTCGCGACACCCTGGATCCGCCCCTGATATATATATATATATATATATATATATATATATATATATATATATATATATATATATATATATATATATATATATATATATATATATATATCTGTGTGTGTGTGTTTGTGTGTGTGTTTGTGTGTGTGTGTGTATATCAAAAATCATCTAAACACACAACAACTCTTGCGCATTTTAAAGACTTTTATGTTATGCCATTGTTTTTGTTTTAGAACGAAAGTTTATTTTCCCCCAACTAAAATGGTAGCTGTTCGCGGCAAAGATTATGACGTGTTTCCGACTGCGATGATAGCCAAGCTCTAAGGTACTTTATGTAGAAAATTGCATCTTTTCTAAATAAAACTACGCTTGACGATTTGATATTGTCGCATTACTTTTACCAGATTATAATAACGGTTAAAATAATCTTTCCATACATACCAAATATGTTATAATTTTTGATGAAAAAACTTGTATATATTGTAATTGAACAAACTTATATTTTTGTTCGGAAAAGCGTGTACCATTAATTGCATTGAGTTGATTACAATGCGACTTTGTTTAGAAAAGTTTTTTTTTTCAAGATGGCGGCCAGAAGCACTTAGCGGCTAAAGTATACTTGTAAAGAATACTTATAAAAATATTATTAAGATAAGATTTGAATTTATCTTGTTATGGTGTAAGTTGAGTTATAAATTCTTGGTTTTGATTTTTTATGTCTATTTTTTATTTGATTATCATAACTATTTTGTTATTTACAGTGTAAAGTATTCTAATTACTAGTATTTTAAATACCTATTTTAAATAATTTTAAAATATTTGTATTTTGTTTTTTAAATAGTTTTCCAATCAAGTATTTTGTATTTGTATTTAAAATACAACCTTGGATGTATTTTGTATTTTTAGTGTTTTTCAAAATACAAAATACCTTTTAATTTCTTTATTTAAAGTATTTTTTACAAAAATCAAATCAAAATCAAAATCAAATCAATATATTTCCACTCTAATATAACTGTAAATATATACATTCGTGCGGGACATTTACAAACAGTTACAAACTGATGACGCGTAAAGACCTATGATGGTATACTTTGTAGCATAATAATATTAATATAAGAATAATGTGATGATGTAACAATAACCACCTATGATGGTGTAATTTATATAATAATAATAATATTGATAATAACAATATTAATAATAATAATAATAACAGTAAATATACAATACTAATAATAATGTCAATAATAATACAACAATAAGAAGCAGTATAGCTGTATATATTTTTTCTGCTATTTGCAAAATAAAACATAAGAAAAAAATAGTAATTATCATTAATAATAACGAAAATATATATTTAAAAAAAAAATGATAATAACAATAACAATAATTTAATAGACAAAATTAAGAAAAGAAAAAGGAGGGAATTTAATGACTTGGCATTATGTAATGCACATACATACACACATATATACAGACATAAAAATACACCTACCATACAAATTTATAGATACACATACATACACACATACATATGTACATACATATACATGCATACATACATACATACATTCGTACATACATACATACATATATACATACTTACATACATACACACATATACACACATAAACACACACTCACATACATACATACATACATACATACATACATACCTACATACATATACACATACATACATACATTTATACATAGACATACACACATGCATACATACATATGCATGCATAAATATATTCATATATAAACACATGCATACACACAGCTACATACACATACATATATATATTACATATACATATATATACTTATGTTTTATTTTTTAGAGTTTTTTATTTTATTTTATTAGTTTTATATTTTTATGTTTATTTTATGTGTTTTATATTTTTATTATTACTTTTGGGTTTTATATTTTTATTTCTATTTTCTGAGTTTTGTATTTTTATTTTTACTTTCTGAGTTTTATTTTTATTTATAAAGAAAAAGAAATAATTAATTACAGTGAACTAAAAGGGAGCAATAGAAAATAGCTCATTGATTATTTTTATTAAAAATAATCTTTTTTATATGGGTTATAAAGGCATTTCTATTTGTTATTTTAGAGAATATTTTTTTAGTTTCAACAGGAAGAGAATTCCAACTGTGGGTTGATTGATATTTGATTGACCTAATGCCATATTTATGTGTTTGCTTTAAAGGCATAGAGAGACTACAATAAGATACAGATCTAAGTTTATGGTTATGGATATCACCTGTGAACTTAAAAAAGCTATTGAAACAGCTGGGCATGTTATTGTGTATAGTGTCCCATACAAGTACACAGTTATTTAAAATAGATAAATTAAAGAGTAAATTGTTGACATTTACAGAATCAAAAGCTTTTTAAAATTCAATAAAGATATTGTATAAAATGATATAATTATGTTTATATCATTTTTTTAATTTAAAAATTTTTATTTTTTACTGTTCCCAACAGTCTATTGGAATTATGTTTTGTTTAGTTTTAATATTGATTAAGCATTTGACTACATTTCTTTTTTTTTATTCTTTTCGGTAAAATATTTGTTATATTTTCCTTACTTTTTTTATTTATAACCAAAATTGATAGTATACTGGTTTTGTCAAATCAAATAGAGTTAATGGCAAATCATGATCAAGTGAAAGATAATATGTAAGTGTTTACATATATATATATATATATATATATATATATATATATATATATATATATATATATATATATATATATATATATATATATATATATATATATATATATATATATATGTATATATATATATATATATATATATAAATTTCTAAACAAAGAAAATACAATTTTTTATGGTACTAATAGTTTCATGCCTAAAGGCAATCATCGGCTATATAATACAAAATCAAGAAATAAAAAAAACGTTTGTTCGATTTGAGTTCGATTCGGGCAATTAGGCAGTCGTTTATAGTTTTTTCTTTTTTCTTTCTGTTGTTTGTTGTTATGACAACAGAGCACACTTCATTCTAACTTTATATTTTAACAGCTTTTTTATTTCTTGATTTTGTATCACATGGTTGTTAGGAATATGTTACTTTTTTTTTCTGAAAATCTACCTAATTAATACCAGCGGAGAAATTATATAAAGTATTTTAAAAATAACTTTAACCATTAACTAATTTAACCATAACTGATTTAGAAACCTTCTGTACAAACTTGTTATTTTGAAATGCCAAAGTTTTTCAAACATAAACTTTTGGGGTGGATTGAAATTTCTTAATATACTAAAATTCAATCTTGCTTGACTTGTTGCAAAATCTCAATCTTTTATTGTATCTGTCCCTGCATGCTCTGAAAACTTTTATTAGTCTAGTTTATTTCCCTCCACTTCAATGCTTTGGAACTCTTTCCCATCTTCATGTTTTTCATAAAACCTTCAACTTTCCAAGTCTTCTGTCAACTCTGTTCTTTTTTTCAAGTACTCTTTTAAATCTATTGTAGATTTCTAAATTTTCAGTTATAAGAAAATTGTGTCATGGAAGTAAATATAGGTCAAACACTAAATTATTATCTTACAATAATACACGTAGATCAAAGTTTTTTAGAGTGTCTCAGAAATTTGGCCTCTAAGTTAATGACATTTTATTGGAAAAATGATTCAACTTTTCCAAGCAACCTTTTGCAGACTTCAATTGTGTAATCAATGTCTAAAGCAAAAATCCAAGTTTCACAGTGTCTTTCTATACACTGGTGGCAATGACCAGTAGCTGCTAATTTTAACTTTGTTTTATGTCAATATTTCTTCTGCAAGAGAACCATGGCTTAGCACAGTAATCTATAATAAAATTGCGTGCCTCTATTATTGATTTTTTGTTTAGATCAAAAGCACATATTTCAAGCAATAGATAGCTCTTAAATTCTATCGTGCATTTAAAATAAGTCCTGGTTTAGAAAAACAAATTGCAGATACGTATATTGTCTTGATATCCTTTGCATAGCAAATCCAGCTTCATTTAATCATTCCCTCCATATTTCTTACTTTTAATAATTCGCCTGTTAGGTATGTTTTTTCAATTTAAATCATGGTAGTTACTGTTAACTCCTTAATGAACCAGTTATTAATACAAGGTAATGTTAATAAGGAGTCAAACTTTGAGTTCACAAAATGAGTTTGAGATCTATTTTAAAGCGACCCCTCTCTCTGCACAGTCATTTATTTTAAATTGAATCCATTTGCTAAAAATTGGGTGGCATCGAAAGAAAAATTAAGCCTTGTTGTTGATAAGAAAATTGAAAAGTTGAGAAGTTTGGTATGATTCTAGTTAGATTTTTTTCAAATTGAATGTTTTGCTTTCAAATTGCTTTCTTTAATTTTTTCTTTTTGGGACGTATAAGATTCTTAACCATGGTGGCTTTTGTATGAACAATATTGTAGGGGTCAAAAAAAGTTTTGCCAACCAAATATTTGTAAAAATGTGTTGTGCTTTTTAAAGGCTGTCATTGCTGCAACTTTGACAACATTGTTGTAGGCATAATAATTAAAAAATGTTATATCACTAGTCTACTACCACATATACATAGAAAAAGTCCTAAGTTTCTAAGTGACTAAACTTACCACAGTCATGGGGTTGCTGATGGTTTTTATAGTGCAACAAGAAATTTGAAATGCTATCCAGATCATGTCCAAGGGCTTGAGCAATTGCAGAAATAACAAAAGTGGCTTGTCTATCACTGATGTTAATTCGATCAAGGAATGTTATTCCTTGCCTCTTTTGGAGCTGAATAAGGTTGCCTTGCAAAAACAATAGATTATAATTTATTATAAAATTGACTGCTAAAATTGATCTAGTTTGTGCCAACTTTAAATATTACTGAACTCATATTTGGTTTAAGGACTCCTCTCATATATAGAAACAAGAAAAATTGTGATCCAAATGAATCATAAAAAAAATTCAAACATTCTAATTTGGACCAGCCTAGGATACAATCTATTTGAAAATTATAATTATGTATTTGTGTTGTTATATTTTATGCTGTTTTTTTGTTATTACTTTAACTAATTTTTATTTGTTTGATTTCAGGCCATTACCTTGGTGTTTAAAAGTTCTTTCTTGGAACATTGATGGTTTGGATGATCGGTGTTTTGACCAACGTGCTAGTGGAATATGTAGTATTATAAATACCCATTATCCAGATGTTGTTATGTTACAAGAAGTTTTAGATGAGCACTTGGTTATTTTTGAACAATTTTGCCAAAAGTAAAATCTTAAAAATATAATTAAGTAGTGAAACATAAATCTTTTAATATTTTTTATTTTTTTTTCAATTATAGATACTCATTTTTTCCATACAAAAATAGTAATTATTTCAACATGATAATGCTAAAGAAGGATATAAACATTGTTATGATTAAATTTAATCCAGAGTTGTTTAAAAACAGTAAAATGGACCGTTCATTGTTAAAGTGTGAAATTCTTTTCTATAGTCATCCATTTCTGATTATGACAACACATTTAGAAAGTTTAAGTGATAATTCTGTTGTGAGAATAGAACAAATGAGTTCATGTTTAGAAACAATTTTAAAAACTTCATTATCTAACTTTGTCATATTTGCTGGTGATTTAAATATCAGAGAGCACGAGCTTAAAAGTATAAATTGCATGTTTGCTAAGGATACATGCAATGATGCATGGGAGTCTGCAGGTAAAGATTCTTCTAAAAGGTTTACTTGGGATGTACTGCTAAACGATAACAAATCATTTCAAGGAAAGTATCCCAGAGCAAGATACGATAGAATGTATTACAGAGATTCAAATAAAATACAAGCCATAGTTTCTGCATTTGAGTTAGTTGGAACTCATAGAGATAAGTGTGGGTTATTTCCAAGTGATCATTTTGGAATTCTTGTATCTTTTTTATTAAATGTTCTCTAATAATACTTCATGAAAATAAAATATTTTGTGAACATGTGATTAAGTAACCATTTTTTTGTTATTGTTTTTGCGTTATTATTTAAGTTATTAAATTATTGTTTAAAAAGTTTTAAATTGATTGAAATGTTTTTATATAATATTTAACTTGTTTAATATGTTTATTGTTAAATGTTGTATTCTTGTATAATATTATTCTATTTTTACTGACTTCTAAAACTTCAAAGTCTCAATTTTTTAATTTGTTTTCAAAGTCATTAAAAGTTAGCAGATTCTTTTTAACAAATCCATTCAAAAACATTAGCATTGAAACTAGCAGTTTTTATTCTATACTATTATCATTGTATTATACATTTTTATTTCTAATATCAGTTACTATATTCTTATTTCAATATTACTTATTTTATTGTTGCAGACGGCTTCGTGATCAAACCTGACACAACACGAGTTGTCATTGTAAAATGTCATATATCAATTTATACCTACCAAAGTTTTTTTTTTATATATATGCTTGTGATTGTTTTTTTATTTGAATAAGTTTTATCTAAAAACGACCTCGTTGATAGCTACAATTCACAGTGGGCCAGAGGTGAGCAAAATCAACTTCTATATTGGAGCATTTCCTTTTGTAAATGTAAAGAGATCTTGTAAATGTAATAGAGATAACCCCAGCGTTCTAAAACTAATATACTACTTCATTTACTTACTTCATTTTTGAGCTCAGTATAATAATTTTACAACGAAAATGGCATTTTTTAGCTTTTATTGGTGAAAATGAAAAAATCATATAAAAAAGAAATATGAGGCCAGTAAGACAATTTTACAACATTTTAATTTCTTAACAGTATATATTAGTTCAATGACATCATATATTGAAATTAATTTTTTATGCTTGCTTTTTTTCAAATTGTTTTTAAATAAAACCCCTTAAAATGCGTAACCTTTTTTCTAACACTTACAATTTATACAAGCATAAAAACACTAGGCCGCACACGTGACCTACTTTAAATTACACTCTCAGATATAAATAAAAATTTAAAACTAAATTTTCTGAGCTCAGCCGAGCGCAGTAGGTCTAGGCTTTTTATTATAAATGATATCCATTCGTAGATTTTGCTTTAAAAAACTGAAGACGCATAAATAATGGTTTTTAGATTTTTAATCATTTAAATCTAGTTAAATTAATTTTTAAGTAGGAATGTTGTGGAATGGAACATTAATTTTTAAGTAGCACTTAATTGTGGAAAATTATGAAACATTCTATAACGACGATGTGATTTTAATTTAATAGTTTTTTTATTAGTAATTATTTTTATGTTTAAGCGGTTTTTTAATGTACATTTAAGTGGATTGTTGTATTGTGTTAAGGTGGTACACCCCCATTCTAAAAAATTTCTTTAAAATAATCTATTCAAAATTAAAACTACAATACACAAGTTTAAAAAAGTATGCTGATTATTTTTTTTTTTAAATGAAATCTCGATTGCCCAACTTTTGCCTCACTTATTCCATAAGAATTGCCAAAATGTGGGTGTAATTTAAAACAAGATATCTCCAGTTCTATATATTTTTTCACTCTGAAATTTTCACATTATGTTCCTAAAAGGTACAAAGAGGTTATGAACCAAAATCATGCATTAAAGATGCATAGAACATTTTAAATGTAATTTTCTATAAATTTAAGAAAATTTTTAACAAAAAAAAAAAAAAAAAAAAGATTTTAAACATACTTATACATAATATTTATTTGTAATTTTGGTTCATTACCTAAAGTCAATTTATAACAAAAGCACCCTGAATTTTGGTTCATTACCTAAGTCACCTGAGTAAATTTATAACAAAAGCACTCTGAAAATTTCAAGTCAGCATATGGTCCCAAACTGAAAATATTGCGTTTTAAAATTTAGGTATTTGGTAAAAATGACATTTTGAGAAAAACACAAAAAACAAAATAAAAGTTCGTTATATTAGGAAAAGAAGCACAAGCTCAATTGAAACCTCCACTATTATATTGTGGGTCCTTTTCCAGTTCTTTTTCAATATATATGTAACCTTTTTTGATGACTCTAAGCTTTTTTCTCCTCAATTTACCTTTAGCACTTGATTTGTGATTTATTTTTTTAATTCGGATGAGGTCCAATTTACGAAGTCCGTCTTGCATAAACATACTTGGTTCAATACCTCCAGCACTAATTACTTTTTCAACTGCTGTGCTTCCATCATTAATTGCTATAATAGCTGAGTTCATACTTATCTCAAGAACCTTTTTCCCAATAAAAAAATCTTTAGGACATCTTTTCCATATTAAGGCATTCAGACTTTCATTGTTATTTTGAGTTTGTCCGTGCAAACATTTTGATAACAATGTTTTATTTGTCAAATCTGTAAATATAGGCATAAGTACTGCTTTAATTGCTAATGGTAAGCTTAATTTAGTTTTGTATGTTGTTTCACCAGTTACTTTATTATTCTGCCACAAACACCAACTAGTTCTAGTTTGTGGGCAAAATTTGTGTCTCTCTGATTCTTCACTTATGTCACTGTTGTGAAATAAAACAGCCCAAGCAGCAGAAACAGCACCAGAAGCTTGCATGGATCCTGATGATTTATTGTGGTTAGCTTCACAAACATGATTTATTTTCCAGTTTTGATAACCTAGGGTTGACTTTTTTTTGTTCCAATAACTACAAGCTTTGCAGAACTTAGTTAACAAAATTGAATCAAGACATTTTCCAATCTCTCTTGATATTGCAGTGACAATACCATTTAAAGATTGATGGCCTCTCTTTTGCCAGGTACCATCAACAGAAACTTGGCAAGCAGAAACATCATTAACATTGCTAGATTTAGAAATAATATCTTTGGTTTCATTGGCAGCACTTGACATACTTGCAGAAGCAACTTCATTATAAATATTTTAACAAGTTGTTAATAATTGCACTATAATTTTTAAAATTCATAGGAGATGGCATGTTCATTACTGTAGCAAATTTGAATATAGATTGATAACCTTTATTAATTTCACGAAAAGCAGTAACAACTTGAAAATTAACTGATACAGTAGAAACACCTGGAGTACTTTTAGATTTTTTAGTTGAAAACTGAGACGTGTGCCATCCTTTGCTATATGGGCAACAAAGACAATGTAAAGTTAAATAAAAACAAAAACCTTTCTTGCTTTTTAAGTCATTTTCAAACAAACTTCATTTCCACATTTAGGGCATTTAAACTCACTAACCATTAGTTTTAAAATATTAAAGTTAATAATGATATTGTAATTTTTTTGACTTCCAGATATTTTAGTGTTTACTAGTTTTCTGGAGCTTGCTGATAAACTTGGATCAGAAATTGATGAATCAAGCTGAATAAACTTTGAAGATTTGAGGTGTTGATTACAAGAAAACTTTCTTTTTTTAGTTCGAGCAATAGAACGTCCCATATCTTATTTAGCTATTTATCTATAAGAACATTAACAAACTAAAACAGCATGCAAGCACAATATTTTAATACATGTTCGCATTAGTAGTTCAAGTTATAGCTATAAAATAAACATGAAACAAAAAACAAACAAGAAGCTGCAGTAGAAAAGAGTTTTTGATGTTAATAAACTTGAGCAAGTTTAAATTTTTTTGTTTTAAAATGCGTTGCTATGGCGTTGCTACGGACTTCTCAATCTACTATGGCCACAAAACACATAATTGTACACACTTCCTTATTTATTTTTTAAAAAAATAATTAATGATATTATTCTATAAAAAATTTTGAATTTAAAAAACCAGTTTTCAAAAAATTGATTTTTTCTAAAAAATTTCGAAATTAATGGGGATGTACCACCTTAACTTAATGCGAACATGTGTAAAAAATATGATTTAGGGAAGATTTATTATTTGTATTTATGTATAAGAGTTTTTATTAAAAAAAAGAGTTTAGTTTAGTAGTTCCTAAAAGATGTAACAAGAAGTTTTATAAAAAATTTCATCAATTTCATATCCTTCAATCAATGATAGTCTTCTATAAATTTTCTTCAGTTAAATAAAAAAAAAATTAAAGACTATAAAAGCCTTCTATAAATTTGTTTCCTTGAAAAAGTTTCAAAAAAAAGTTTCAAATCATAAATTAAATCAAAAAAAAATTGTTGTCCTTTAAAAACTAGACATGTACAAATAAGTTCTTTAAATGAAAACTTATTAAAAACAAGAATTACATGTACATTTGATGTTGTCTTCTTGTTGTTGCGTTACTCCTAGATGTTTTATACTATCCAAAAAAGTATCCAGTTGTCAAAAAAAAAAAAATGTATCCGACTGTCATCAAAAAATTAGTCGCCACTAAAAAAGGTCATCAAATCTAAATAAGAGTTTTCTCGTTGTGTTGAAAGCGAGAAAACTGCTTACTATACTTTTAGGGTTTTTTTAATACTTTTAGTTTTAATGTCGTCTAAATAAATTTTCTAAATGGCCGTTTTCATCTAGAAAATTGTGCTTTAAATGGGTTAAATATGTTTTCTTCATTTTAATAACCCCTAAAAAATGGAAAAATAGTTTTAAATTTAAATTCCTCAACCTCAATTTTCTATATGTAGACATGCAATTGCTCCATCTAATTGAAAAACCATTAGGACGTTCAAGGACCACTTTTGACCACCCCTAAAACGACTATTGAACGGTTATGATTATTTCTTAGGACCAAATACACCCAGATTTGAATTCTCTAGTTGCAATTATCTATATTTAGACATAACATGTCCTATCTAATTTAAAAACCATCAAGACATCCCATGACCACTTTATATAACCATGACCACACTTATATAACCACTGAGCGGTGTTAATCACTCCAAACTTCAAATAAAGCCAAAAAAATTATATCCTCGGCCCCTAAAACCCCCATTATATGCATCATATGTCTATATTTAACCCATAAATAGTTTTTGCATTTTTAGAAAATTTTGGCCCAATGTGCACTGGGAGAATTTTTTTTGCGCATATGTCACGATGATTGTACATATGTTATTAATGCGCTTAGGTAATTAGTAAAGTCTGCGCGTTTAACATACATTTAAATGGCAACTTTCCTATTTATAGGAAAAAGATTTTACATTCAGACTTTTATTTTCTTCAAAATTAATTAACGGGGCGAGGATTCTAAAAAGCTGTGGATGATCTGAAACTTAATAAAAAAAAGTTATAAGTCCGTCTCCGTTTTTTTTTTTTTATATATAGAAATTTACAATTTCACAATAAGAAGTTAAAGTATTGAACATTAATCGTTAAATCAAAACAAAAATTTTAAAGATTTTGATAATTTTCTACCAATAAATTATTGAAATAAAACAGCTATATAAAGGATAAGTATAAAAATGGCAGAGCTGACAACAGGGAAGCACTGCCCCTCTCCCCTTCCACACATACTTTTTTTCTAAAGAATTTTTTTTTTAAAAAAAAGTTCTTTAGAAAAAAGTATGAGTATTTTTTAACTTTTTTTTACCAATTGTAATCGTATATTGTATATCAATTATCGTGGAATAGATTTACCAAGACCCGTATTTTACGGGTCCAGGCAGGTAATAATTATTATTTGTGTACATACATTTATATATTTATATTTAAAAATAATATTAAATTGAAATGTTAATTCATAAAGACATTGAAAGAATGTTGAAAGAAAAATTCAAAGTACAAGAAAATTCGATTCTAAAGATTATTTCTGGAAATGCAACGAAATTCAAAACAAAATTTTTCATAATGAAAAAATGGATAGAATCTTGAAATTGATAGAGTCAATTGGTAAATGTTTGTAATTGGTAGAAGAAAAACAAAACAATTTACAACAAACTGTTCATGTCCAATAGAAAAGTATCGAGTGAAATCAAGATACTTTGATCAATGAAAAAGATACATCACTTATAAAGAACTAAACAAAGTAATTAATAGCGAAATCACAAACCTTTCAAATAAAACCATTTACATACAAGCAACTTTGTATGTAAATGAAAATTAGATCGGGTGAAAAAAAACGAGCAATTGCTTTTACTCATTAATTGGTCAGCTTTACGTGAATAAAAAATTAAAAAATTTCACGTATATTTTTATTTACGTAAAACTGAGCAATTACTGAGTAATTTGCTTAACTTTACGTGAATAAAAATTTGAGGAAAACTGCTGAAGTTTTTATTCACGTAAAGCTGACCAATTACTAAGTAAAAGCAATTTCTCATTTTTATTCACCCGGCCTATTATAAATTGGTTGCTATGGCGTTGTTATGGACATTACAAACTATTTGGTTGATAAATAAACCCAAATTATTGTTACTCAAAGTTAAAATTTTGCTTTAAAAGTTTTTGTATTCTGTGAACAAAGAAATAATGAAATAAATTCTAAGATTTTTTTTTTTCAAAATTGACTTTTATTTCCTGGGGTACCACCTTAAAAAATTATGCGTGATAACCACGCGAAGTTTGTGCTAGTGGAGGCGAATGTGTTTATATTCACAATTTAATCAACTTTATTTTCCGTAAGTGTGAATGAAGCAGATTGTGAGTCCATTATGCATACAATTATTTAAAAATAACTCTAAAAATATAATCATCAATACTGTTTATCAACCGGTGGTAATTTTAAATTATTCAAAGCTCATATTAGCTTATTTTTAAACAAAATTCATAAACAAAACACGCAAAAGCATGTTTACATAGGTGATACAAATATAAACCTGTTGAAGGATGCTTCTAATGATAATGTTAAATTTTATCGATAATATCCTTGAACACAGCTTCATTCCAACAAGTATTAAGCCAAAAAAAGAAACTAAAAATTCTTCTATATTAGTTGATAATATAATAATCATGTTTCTGTGTATAATAAAGACAGACCTTTCAAATTATTTTCCCACTTTCTTAACTAATAAAAACATACGCCAAACAATACCAATTTCAAATCTCCTATTTTCAAGTGAGAGGTCAATAAAAACTCCGTAAAAATCGTGCAAACAAAAATGTCAATAATGGTTTAAAATAAATATCGAACATAACCACTTTATTAGTTTTGTTGTTTTGAACATAACCACTAAATTTGCTTTGTTGTTGATAATTTATTTGTCAAAACAAAACCACTGAATCTTATTAACCGCTATAAAATCACTAAATATAATGTATATCACTTCATATAATCAATAAGTAAAATAATGAATACAATTATAAACAGAGTTATAATAGGATTATATTTTGCGTTTGATAATCACAACTTGTTAGGGTTTGTTGTCCAATTTAAGCAAACAGTTTTATGTAAAAACTAATTTAATTTGTAATCGGACTTTTTTTTTCCACATCTTCATATGTGTGCATATTTTTTGTAGAGATTGGTTTAATTGTTTCCATTTTCATTTCTTTTTCTTATGAAGATGAGATGAATCATCAACGGTGCATTTTGAATTTTCCTTTGAATTTAGTTTTAAAACG